AAATGTAAAAACCTTCCCTAAAAGCCGAGACTGTAAATTCCAAAAAGGCAAGTCCCCACCCCCATCCAAAAAAAAAACAGAAAAGCAAAACTAATCCATTGCCATCAAGACAATTCTGACTCATATAGGGTTTTTGAATCTGTAAATCTTTATGGGATCATGCAGCCTCATCTTTATCCCCCAGAACTGCTTGCTTGTAGTTTTGAACCACTGACCTTGTGACTTTCAGTCCAATGCCTAACCGACAAACACATCAAATAAAAAGTTTTAAATGGCCTCCAAAGTATGCCAAGCAAAGAAAATGTGGCAACCAATTAAGTTGTGTGAACAAGCTGAGATAAATGGATTACCCAAAACAGATCATATCATTTTGATGCATGTTATTTGTGACTTCTCCCACTTTTGTCTTGTTAGGCTAGCCAATGGTCTGTCAATTTTGTTAATCCTTTCAAAGAACCTGCTTCTTGTCCTGTTGATCCTTTCTATAGTTTTTCTATGTTCTAGCTCATTTATTTTCTGCTCTAATCTTTATTATTTTTCTTTTGGTGACTGTAGGTTCCCTCTGTTGGTCTGTTCTAATTGCTGTAGATGCTGTGTTAATGTGTTAATTTTGGTTCTTTCTTCTTTTTGGATGTGTACATTTATTGCAATAAATTGTTCTCTCAGCACTACTTTCACTGTGTCCTAAAGATTTCGATACGTTGTGTTTTTGTTCTTATTTGTTTCTAGGAACTTTGTGAGTTCACGTTTAATTTCTTCTACCACCCAGTCGCTTATCAACAGGGTGTTACTCAGTTTCCATGTATTTGACTTTATTTCCTTGGTCTTCCTGTTGTTGATTTCTAATTTGGTATCACTATGGTCTGAGAAGATGCTTTGTAGTATTTTGATATACGTAAATTTATGGAAGTTTGTTTTGTGGCCTAACACATGGTTTATTCTGGAGAATCTTCAATGTGCACTGGAAAAGAATGTGTATAGTGCTGTTGCTGGGTTGAATGTTCTGTACATATCTATGAGGTCCGGTTGGCTGATTGTGTTGTTTAGTTCTTCTGTGTCTTAGTCAAGTTTCTTTATGGTTGTTCTATTTCTGAAAGCGGTGTATTAAAATCATCCACTATTATTGTAGATTCATCTATTTCTTTCTTCAAATCTACTAGACTTTGCTTTACATATTTTGGAGCCCTTTCATTGGGAGCATAGTAGTAACATTATGTCATTTTGTTCAATTGTCCCTTTAATCATGAGATAATGTCCATCTTTATCTATTATGCTGGTTTTTGCCTTAAAATTTATTTTATCAGAGATTAGTACTGCCACTCTTGTTCGTTTTTATTGCAATTAGCTTGGTATGTTTTTTTCCATCCTTTCGCTTTTAATCTCTGTCTCTGTGTGTGAGATGTGTCTCTTGCAGATAGTATATTGAAGAATCTTGTTTTATTATCCATTCTGCCACCCTCCATCTCTTAACTAGTACATTTAATCCATTTACATTCAGTGTAATTATCGATTTGTTGTTGTTGTTGTTAGGTGCCATGAAGTCGTACTGACTCATAGCGATCTTATGCACAGAACGAAACATGGCCCGATCCTGGGTCAACCTCACTACTGTTGCCACGCTTGAGTCCATCAATGCTGCCACTTGGCCAATCCATCTTGTTGGGGTCTTCCTCTTTTTCTCTGACCCTCCACCTTACCAAATATGACATCCTTCTCCAGCGACTGGTCCCTCCTGACAATATGTCCAAAGTATGAGAGACGAAGTTTGGCTATCTTGGCCTTCAAGGAACACTGTGGCTGCACTTCTCCCAACACAGATTTGTTGGTACTATGGGCAGCCCGTGGCACTTTCAATGTTCTCTTCCAATACCATAACTCAAAAGCATCAATTCTTCTATGGTCTTCCCTATTCACTGTCCAGCTTTTGCATGCATATAAGGTTATTGAAAATACCATGGCTTGGGTCACGCACACCTTAGTCCTTAAGCTGACATCTTTGCTCTTCAACACTTTAAAAAGGTATGTGCAGAAGATCTGCCTAATGCAATACGTCATTTGATTTCTTGACTGCTGCTTCTGTGAGCATTAATAGTTGATCCAAGAAGAATGAAATCCTTGACAACTTCAATCTTTTCTCCATTGATAAGAATGTTTTTTATTGGTCCAGTGGTGAGGATTTTTGTTTTCTTTACATTGAGATGTAATCCATACCGAAGGCTGTGCTCTTTGATCTCTTTTTGATCTACATCAGTAAATGTTTTAAGTCCTCTTCACTTACAGCAAGCAAGGTTGTATCATCTGCATATCGTAGGTTGTTAATGAGGCTTCCTCCATTCCAGATATTCCATATATTCCATTAACTTTTCCCTCCATTTAGTGCAGTATTTTATCCTGTAATCTACCTAACCTTCTCACCATCTGGATCTCTGTTCCTATGTGTTTACCTTCTTTTACATTGTGATTGTTTTGATCATAGACTGACTTCCCAGATTCTCTGAGTTTGTTCTTACAGTTTTATTCTGTTCTCAACTCTTCCATCTATCGATTTAGTTGTGGGAGGTGCTGTCACATATATCAGTCTCTGGTTATTGTCTGTCCTTGTTAGTTCTCAGTCCACAGAACTCCCTTTAGGATGTTTTGTAGTGCAGGACTGGCTTTTGCAAAATCCCTTAGCTTCTGTTTATCACGGATGCTTTGATTACATTGTCGCATTCGATTGATAGTTTTGCTGGATAACGGATTCTTTGTTAACAGGGTTTTTTTTTTTTATTTCAGGGTTTTATATATGTCTCCCCATTGCCTTCTTTCTTGCATGGTTTCTGCTGAGAGATCCGAGCGTAATCTGACTTGCTTGCCTTTGTATGCTACACTTCTCTTTTCCCTAACTGCTTTTAGGATTGTCTCATCTTTGATTTTGGAGAGCTTGATTAGGATACGTCTCGGTGATTTTCTTTTGGGGTCTATCCTTCCTGGGGTTCATTGAGCTTCTTGAATGTTTACCTTTTCAATTTTCAGACTGTTAGGGAAATTTTCTTCCAGAAGTTCTTCAACTATTTCCTCTGTGGACTTGTGTGATTCTTCTTGTTCTGGAATGCTGAGAATTCTTAAGTTATTCCTCTTCATTTTGTCCAACATGAATCTT